CAGCAGGTGAAAATTTGTCTTAATAAAAGTCTATCTTTTCAATTAATTTCAACTGCCATTGTCTATCCCAGGTTAGATAAAGCAAGCAGACTTCATTGCTACTTTTTTTTAAATGTATTATGCTAAACCTAATATTCCTACAGATTGGCAAAAATCTTCTGCAGACCGGCGCCAGGCTAGGGGTTGCGGAACACTGGTTTAAGGAATAAGAATTTTGGCAATATTTCAGTTGGCAATGCCACAGGGAGTGAAGGAAGAGGAAAATACTGTAACTGCATTAATCAAATTGAGGAAGCTGACATACATCACAAGCACATTTTAACTGCTCTTATACAAACAGCAAAAAATAGGGAAGACAAAAAATCATTTATACAGGGAAAAATGCATCCACAAACAAAAAGGACTCCATACTTATTGATTTTTAGCAACAACAAAAGACTTTGGGTGCAGGTCTTTCACTGCACATGTATTTTTAAAAATTTAGGATTCCCTCAGCAAAATTTCCCAATAATCCACATATTCCCTCAAGTGCAATATGCTAGCTACTAAAAACTCCCTCACTTCAAACTTTTTTCTGTCAAACCTCCTCTTTAAAATAAAATCACAGCATTTTCAAAAATGAAATTGGGGCTAAGTTTCAGCATAGAAAACCTGTTCCACTTACACATAACCAGGAGTTCAAACATCCACATGTTGTATGATCTTTTCTCAATGACTTCAACGGGAAACCCCTTCATGCATGAGAAATATTTTAAAGTTTTATGAAACTAAATTGTCATGATGAAAAAAAAAGTTTTTATGGGTTATCAGAATACGTCAATGATGAAAGTACAGTATTCGAAAGTTATGCTCTTAGCATATCCGTCAAGAATTTTTATCACGCCTTCAAATTTCACCCAAGCTTAAAAACGTGCAAAAAATCTTTAAAAATCCATCGATATTCACACGATTTCCAAAGAAAACCCTGTTCATCTGAATATAACAAGCACAACTTTTGCGGAACATCGCGACAATTTCCAATAAAAAAGTATCATAAATCAAAGAGAAAATAAAAGGTTTCAGCAGGAATTTTCCGATAAATAAGAAATGTTCAGCTCAATATCACCTCCTGTAATAACCAATAATTGGCTTGAATGCGGAGTATTCATAAAGTTCTGGTCCTCCATAGCCATACAGCAATTTCCCCCGACCATATTCATCATAGTACGGGTGACGGATCTTCGACCTATATTAAAAGAAAAGTGTTCCACGTTTCAAATAAATGCATGAAGAAATCATTCAAATAATGTAATACTCACTTCCAGTAAAATGGAAACAACTTGTAAATCAATTTGACTGGAGTTTTTGCTGCTTTTGTTGAGGGTGGCAAAATGGTGAGTATTAAGGAAGCCACGATCATCAGCACCAGTGCTATAAAATAACAACTCAGTTTATTCCAGCACTGAAAAAAAGAGAAAAAAGAATTAAATTTGTTTTTAACTCTCGCAGTATTATTGCACGCGATTTGAGGTAATTTCATAGAAATTTAATCAAAGGAAAATGTTCTGACACTTAAGAATTGGTTTCAAAATTGTATATGCAAATCAAGTTTATCGACAAAGCATTGTGGGATATGTGTGAAAATAAAAACAAATACTCATTTTATTGATCAAATTGAGATAAATGATGCTTCAATAAACAAACAATACTGTACCTTTATGCACTATAAAAGTAATGTATTGTGCATTAATCTTTGTTTTACAAAATTTTCTATGCGTGTGTTCCAGCAGTAAAAGCATTGAGCAACTTTCAAGGAAATTTGGAAAGAAAATAAGGGGAAGAGATAAAAAAATGTATAACACAGTCCACACTTCATACCATATGGCAAAGTTTTATCATCTGTTATAATATTTTTCTGTTAAACAGGGAATATAAGGAATAATAATTTCTTGCGCATCTTGGGCATTAATATATGAACTCTTTCATAGTTTCAGTTAATCAATATTCAAAAAATTTGTTGATCTTCAATGATCGCCAAGTTACATTATGCACACTTTTCTTCCAAATATTATTTATTATTTTTCAACTAAAAGATCAAGAGGGCATACAGGGAACATTGTCACTGAAAATACTTTTAAATTAAATACAGTGAGACCCCCACATGCAGACACCTCAAAATGCAGACAATTCAGCATGAGGACACTCATTTTCCAATATAAAGTGCATAAAAAAGGTCCAGCCTGCTGACACTGACTCATTGTATGTACATTTTGTGCTAAAATTGCAAATGACTCACAGGCCAAATTACAAGAAACAGGTATTTCCAAACCTAAAATCTATGTTAAGGACAGTGTTCTGGCATTTCTCACATCAATTTACCATCCAATCAGCTAAGTTTAAAAAAATTATATCCAGCCTAGAGGGACTTCCTTCTCTCCTTTTGCCTTCAATGTTACTCTTACAGAGAGAGCCAAAATTTCAATGTACTGCACAGAGGTATCAGTATTGAATGCTCCAAATGTCCATATTGTGTTGAAAGTTATTGATTGAATCAGTTTTAATTGGGAGACGACTTTTTCCATTTTTCATGGAATTCTGATGAATATTTTGTCCATGAAACAGCAATTAAAAATTATATAATGTAAGTCTAAGAGAAAATGAGACTTGACTTGGGGATATTTTGACTTAGGGACACTCTTGATGCACCAATTAAATGTCCACACCTTGGGGTCTCACAACTGTATTTAAAATACATTATTCCGTAACACGTCAACTCATTTCAATTCTATAAAACATGTGCAATTGTTAGACAACATAATTTCTTCAATCATGATCTGAAGTGTATTTTCATTCATAAGCCTTTTATTGTCTTTCCATTTCAAAGTGAGATACTGTATAAAAAATCGCAGGCTTGAAAAAATATCTTAACATAATAATAATGAGTAAAAATCCAATTCACGCATCCACGAAGAAAAGCTCAGAAAAATAAACTTCAGTCTGACCAACGAAATTCAAGAAAGAAAAAAGCACTCCAATAATCATTTCACCGTATTTCGTTTCAATATTGTTCGAAGGTGAATTTTTTCCTTCTAACGTACTCACCGGAGAAGCGTGTCGTCCACTCGTGTCCATCATGTTCTAGGCAAGAGAAAACTCTCTTGTTGGAAAGCAATTTTTATTTATTTTTTTTTAGAAAATTGACGAAGACCTTTGAACGATGCTTGTTGTAGAATTCGGTTTCACTGACCAAGAAATAACCTGAGAATGACCATCACCATCAAACGATAGCCGGATTCTCCTCTGCTTTGCGATGGTTGCCTAATCTTTTTTGAATCATTTTTCCGAGATAAGTAACCTTCGAATTTCCCCATCAGGATCTTCAAAAGAGCACCAAGAGATGTTGCGATTCGGAACCTCATTATTCATTCGCTTGGAATATTTAGGACAAAGGCTGAAATAGACACAAATTAGTAGACATTTTTTTATTTGTCAACTGTACAGCATGAACTGAGATGCAAGAATATATTGTATATTGGACAAGCGTCATAAAATAACTTGGCTCTCACAAACTAGTATATCGAGAGGGCAATGCTTTTTAAAGTCCAAAACGCCACGAAAATTTTCAGGAATGATTTTTATTTTTGATCCAGTTTCTGGAAACCAAATGAAAGATATCATACTTCATCCATAGCATTCATAATTCAATCATTGATGACCAAACAAGCAAATTTTAAAGCTAATAGGATATTGGAATAATGACAGCCAAAAATATATTCAACAATCATTTGAATGGATGTCCAGAATTATAATCCAAAGGAATTCAAAAGTGACTGGATGCAAGAGCTAAAAAATAATAACCCACAAATGAGAAAATGCTCTTCTCCCATAGGTTTTCTGGGAGGACATATTTCTCTTCTTCCAAACTACAAGAAACAGATTCCGTATTTCCAACCCTAAAATTGATGCAAGAAAAGTTCTTGGGCATTTCTCTCACCAATTTACCATCCATTTAGCTAATTTAAAGGAATCACCTCCAGCATAGAGGGACTTCCTTCTCTCTTCTTCACTTGAATGTTATTTTTTGCAGAGAATGCAGAACACTTCTATGTACTGTGCAGAGGCATCATTATTCAATTCCCTGTATGTCCATATTGTGTTGAAATATATTGATTGAATCAGTTTAAATTGGGAGAAAATTTTTATTTTCATGGAATTATGGTGAATATTTTGAACATAAAACACCAATTAAAAATTATATAAAATAAGTCTAAGGGAAAACAAGACTCAACTTTGGGACACTCTTGATGCACCAATTATGTCTGCATCTTGGGGTCTAACTGCATGTATATGCTTTATAATGTAATCACATATCACCTGTGAAAACCAACATAGAATCAACCCCTTTTAGCATGAAAATGAGCTTGAATGGCAAAATATGTTCAATCACACAGCCGAAGACACATGCTGTTTTCTGACACATTATAAAGTGGATATAAGGAGGGATATAGTGAAAGGCAAAGCAAAACAAAATAATAAAGCAGGCTTTGGAAAATAAACTCACGAGGAAATTTTCAAGGATCTTTATACAAATTATTGCAAAAAGTACCCCTTCAATATGTTCAAGAGATACCATCAGGGACCCTCTCAGCAACAAATTTCAAGGGACCAGGAAAAAATTCATTGCAGAGGGAATTTCCCCACAGAAAAGTTCTATAAGATTCATACAGACCCCCATTGGCCAGAAAAAAATAATTTGCTGAGAAAACCATTGTAGACAAAATCTGTGTACAGTGTGTTCAGCAGTGAGAACATGTCCAAAATAAAAGTTTATGTTTTCTAAAAATGTATAGGCAGTGTCCATATCCAGAGCAATTTGCCAAGTATTGAGGCTCAACTTTCAGGATTACAGTGTCTGCAAGTCAAGTAATTGGCAAATTTGTAACCATTGTACTATTGAAAGAAAGTTGGTTTCGTAGTAAAATTATTCAAGAATTTGTTTTTTGGAGGCCCTTAATGTATTTTCGTCCTCTCACATCATACATGCTTTAGAACCCTCGCGATGATAGAATGCAGTCAAAAGTGACTATAAAAAAAACATCGCTGCATCTGGAATGAGGAATGGACACATTGCACACATGAATCCCAAAATATGGAGCAATTGACCGGACCTAGTTCCAAATTCAGCGCACAATTTCAACAATCCTCGCTCATCCATATTCACTCACACACATACAGAAGAATCAGGAATGAATCCTAGGTGGGATGAAACGGGTCCATGTGCGTAGAAGTTTCACACCTTGTCGCCCATCTTCACGTGGGACAACTGCAAGCACAAAATCATGTCGAATGAAATATTACGTCTCAACATGTGATTCTAGAATGAATTATGGGCCAAGTGCTACTCCTATGGTCAGTCGCTCTTCACTCTGGAGCGTCAGATAGGTGTCGCTTGAATAGCTGGCTGAATAAATCAACGCCGATTCGTTCAATCAAACACACCGGACATTGAGCAAACTGTACCCAGCCGAATCTGAGTCTGACCATGATCGAACGTAAATAAAAGCCGAGTTAATGTACTTCTTTTTACGTAATAATCGAAACAGAAATTTTTGATCATTGAAAAAAAAAGGTTCAAACTACAGTACTTCAAATATGAATCAGAACACAACGGAATCTTCACTTCATCTTAGATATCCGAGTACTTTTCTCTTGTCAAAGCGGAACAACCTTTTGAAGTTCTTCCTCACAAGATTTTGACAAAACACTGCACTGCTCTTGTATACACACGACACCCCATAGAACTCCTAATCAGGGAAAGCAATCGAAATATCTTCACACACAAAATAATTCCTCACCTGGAGAATGGCAACGATCAATCCAAAAAGCCCAATGGCACTCCCGAAGATCTCCACAATTAGTATCTTGACGAAGAGATTAGGATTCGCAGCATCCGCCAAAGCTGCTCCAGAGCCTTGAAAGAATCAATCATTAATAACCACGACATATCTTAAAGGCTATTCATGATCAAGAGACTTGCCGACTACGCCAACGGCAATCCCGCAGAACAAGTTTCCGAATCCAACTGTTACTCCAGCGCCAAACATGGCATAACCTCCCAACCAATTTTCAGCCTTCACACGTTTGCATTCGTCTGAATCACATTCGACATTCGCGTCAGTGAATTTCTGGAAAATAAAAATTGAGAGAGAAAAATGAAAATCAAACAACATCGTCGAGTATGTACTGCAAAACACAACCGCATAAGTTCCTCGGGAACTGTCCGCGAACAGAACTTTCTGCAGATTTCTCGCAAATGTTCAGAAATGCTAGTTTCGATCTATTATTCCTTTTTATCTAGTATTTCGAAGTAAAACAAAGATTATTTGTCTGTCCAAAAATTTCGGAAAATATCTATGAAACAGGTTAACTTGGAGAAACCCGGCTGGACATCGACACTATCATACAAATGAGAAGAAAAATTGCACGAATGACGGAGAAATCATTCGAAACAATCATACCTCGAGCATGCCGGATATGACAATTGCAATAATTAGTCCGTAGATAGCCACAGCTTCGCAAAAGATGATTGAGATCAAGTTCTTGGTTTTGATGCGAGGTGCACGCACACCAGCTCCCATGATGGACGATCCGGTTGTGTAAATGCCACTAAAAAATAAATCGAAACCCCTCGATAATGACTTCCGTTACAAAACAATGCGCATTTTCCCTGAGCAACGAGTCGAGCAGCAGATCGATAAATTCAACGTACTGCGAACGGTAGACACATCGTCGTTGTCTCAGAATCTACCATTGCTGTGCTCTCTTTCAAGAATATGTATAGGTTTGATACCGGTCTACTCGAATAGCGGGTTGAAGTCGACAGTGTCGCCAAGAGAATATGATCTAAAATGAGCGAAGAATTTCTTACATCGCAGCTCCCACCACTGATAACGCTACGGCAAGCCCAACACCAACGCCAGCCCACATGTAAGGCGATGTTTCCTCCAAAAACCAGCCGAAGTCAATGTCATCTCCTTGGCCGGTGAAGAGGTAGTACAACGCTGAAAAGCATGAATTTTTCTATGACTATCACATACAAGAGGTTATGGCGGGCACACTTGATAATTGGCTTTTAAGGGTGGAACAAGCTGCATTGAAAAATGCGCAAATGGATTATTCATTTGAAACCTTTTTCGGCCCTCGATCAGCATACGAAGAATTTTTCTTGGCCGTTGATAGACAAATGTAACAAGGGGAGTTCTACTGCTGAAATGTCGGGAGAATCTCGACGGCTCCTAGATGAACGATCTGAACCAACACGAGGAACGGCCAAATTGACACATCGCCAGTTGAAAGCTACGCTGACCTGAAAACGGGTTGCTTCCAATTCATTCAATCTGGTACCTCACTTTCGTTACGATAAAGCGTGAATCACGCGTGTAACGCTGCTTCTACGATCGCATTTCAGAAATTCATGAGCGCTCTACCACGCTGGAAATATTCCGCACTTTACTTTCAATCAAATTAACCACAAGTTTCAGAAATCATAAAGAATTTTCGTCGTCTTGACGAGGTAAAGCGCGTTTATTGAGCAGCATGCGAAAATGTCCCAGAATCAAATCTCGGCGAATTGTTTACCCATCAAGCCCAGGANGCTTTATTTTCAATCAAATAAACCACAAGTTTCAGAAATCATAAAGAATTTTCGTCGTCTTGACGAGGTAAAGCGCGTTTATTGAGCAGCATGCGAAAATGTCCCAGAATCAAATCTCGGCGAATTGTTTACCCATCAAGCCCAGGACTCCAGCACCAGTGGAGCCGCTGGCATAAGCGGCGTAATATCCAACCGACATCTTCACTGTCGTTTCACTACCTTCAACAAAAAACTTCACATCTCCTGAAATACAAATTTTGTCGATCAAAGAACACCCTCATCCCGATCTATCAAGGAATACGCAGATACAATTGACGGAGATTCTTTTGAACTTCAGCACAGTGAAGAGAACGCCGAACACAAAAATTAATCACAAGATTGGGAGAAGGTTGGGGACAATATCGAAATGTCTCGAGGAGTTGAATGGCTCCAGAATTTAGTAACCGCCGGACGATCATTACGATTTCTTCTCTTCAACGGAGAAAAGCTTCCCAACTCCGGAATGACTGATATTCGGTCGGTCGGGTAGAAGCTCAGAAGTAGAATGAGATGGCAGCCATGTTCAACAGCTACTTCCATCTATCCGTCCACAAACCTACTATCACCATACTGACGGCACATTGCTGAAGTTCCGACATCTAGATACAATATTTGAAACTATTGCACACTTTACCCATGATGAATTCCCTCATCTTCTTCCTAGAAATGATGCAACATTTTGAGAAGTACTTCTAGAGTTATATTTGGGATTGTAAAAATCTTACCAATATATGAGTCAACCTAAGAACACAATGAATCGTACATGCATTTATTATACATGAACTGGTGTACTTGTATGCATGTACAGTAACAGTATACTCTCCCATATTGCAAAAAAAATTGAATTCCTGCGGCAAGTTCTATAGCAAACGATATACAGTACTTTATAGTACCAAAGTGCAAAAATAAATTTGGCGAGTTAATGCGATCGAATTGTGAAGCGGATATATTGTGTATTTTTCGCAAATTTGTTTTCATGAACCTGAAAAGATCGTTGTCTGGCTCAAACATCAGCAAAGGAATAAAATACGAATGCGAGGATTTTGTCAATAAATACATCGGGCTTTTATTCCGAATGTACATAGAAAATCACACATGATTCCCTTAGCGTTTCGAAGTGACTAAAAATATGCGACACGCTCGATAAAATCCGTAGGACCATGACTTAGGCGACTTTCTTCGGACTCGTTCAAGAACCTGCAATAAAAAAAGGAAAATTTATAAAATAAATCAATCACACTCTAAAAAATGGTGTTTGACTTCGAGTAAATTTTCGTTAGACACTTAGCTATCTCGCGGATAAAACATACAGGAGCTACCTGAACATTTTCTACAATTTATGTTAGTTTTTAAGGATTTTCACGAAAATAAACTAAAAATGTGCACAACTTTATGCTCGAATGACTGTTTTATTTGAGCATATAAATTCAATTGTTCACTTAATCAGCCTATAACGGAAATATTTTTTCAAATTTATTGAAAAAAAATCGAGATGAAGGCCAAACTTTGAACATTTTTGACAAATAATTCAGTATCCTGATGCAAAACATATGATGAATGTTAATCCAATCATAAAAAAGATACACTGTTACAATATATGGTGAATATGGCATAATTTCCCAATTTATTAAATTAAATCATGAATTCAGGTACCATATACTCACAGAAACAATGATGGCTGCAAAACACATAACAAGACATGTGTGAAGCCAGTTGGCCAGGATGACCATAGAGCTTAAACTTGGCACTTCCTCCTCAGGTTTGCCTATAATCAGACTGTCACCAAACTGGTGGATGAAGTCCAACACTACACCATTTGACCAGCCAAATCCAATCTGCACTTCATATTCTCCACCATGTCCAGCATGTCCAGGAGACATAGTGTCATACTGTGGGGCAATAATTGAGAGGAGAAAAACCAGCAGATTAGTGCATGAAAAGTTGATAGCAATTATTCTTTGGGGTAAATACTGAATATAAAAAGCATACATTGGGTAATGAACTTGATACATTTCTCAGGGTTGTCCATCAATAAATACATTCAATCAGTCCAATGAAATTAATTCAAAGTACTGTACTGTACTTGTAGAATTTTGAATATTCTCCAGATTCCTCTGAATTCCTTTATACTTCAGAAATTGAACTATAATCGTGTATACATCAATCAATCTTTTTATAAAATAGTATTCTCAAAGTCCCCAGCAATAATGCACATGGTTATTTTAGTCTTACAAAAGTGATGCCATCTCCAGTTCCCAGCTATGTTGTAAAATAATTTTACTGTGGGTATTACTGAATAAATGAATGCCCAACATTAGAACAAATCACAAGGATACAGAGCATTAACAAAGCTCCAAGTCTATGCTTGAGAAATATTCCAGAAAGTTTATTTCTAAATTATGGAGTAAATGCATCATTTTTCTGGCAGGTATATTATTCCCACTTCCTGCTATGATGTCTTCATTACCTAATTTTTTCAAATGACTGCTGTCAAGTTCATTTTGAAATTAATGAAACATGGGTTAGGGCATACCTTTTCAAACATGGAGTGGTTTGAAGCCTTGTAGCTTTTCCAGTTGCTGTACACCCACTTCTGGGCCAGCTTGTGGGCCAAGTTATTAGCTTCCTGGTTGGGGGCTAACCTGAGCCCCTCCACCAAAGTGTGCTGAACAGGGGACCAGGCATTGGAGAAGTCCCACTGCAGACAAACAGGACAATTTTATTTAATACATTGATACAAAATATCTCAAAGACATTAAGATAAACAACATCTGAAATTTCCAACAGTCCAATTAAGTGCTACTGGGGGGAATTTCACTTTATTTCTGTGAAAATTGTAATGAATTGTTTTCAAAAGCAGAATGAAGGACACTTTTGGGATCTATTGAAATATTGTAAATCATGCCATTCACTCAGCTTACATACATTGCCTTATTTCTGTTTCTTGCAGCAAAACCAATTCATTGTTATTCACAAAGGAATCTAACATACCTTCCTTGCAATAAGAATGTTAAAATGGTTGCATATGATGCACTTTTTATGGTTCTTTTGCTTGCACACAAATGGTGATACAGTACCAATATATAGAGCATACTGCATATAAACTGAAACTCCAAGCTTTTATTGGCCAAGCTGATGAACAATTGGGTTTGACTTTATTAATAAATGAACATACCTGTTCTTCACTTTTCACCAGTGAAGTTGGAACACCTCCTTCATAGTCCAAGACTTTTTGACTATGAAGATAGTCCATGACTCTTTTGGTCACTTGAGATTTGTCCAAACCTCCTTCCACCCCATAGACTCCAGTCCAAAGTGGATGCACATTTGAGATGTAGAATGCTTTTCTTCTTTGCTATATATTATACACAAAGATAAAAGAGGTAAATCAGTGGAACAAATACAGTACTGTTTTCAAAAAATTTGAACCTCAATGCACTACAATGTTCAATTTATCACCAGAAGCAACAATGGCTACTTGCTAAGGACAAGGGGTTTTCATGGTGAAAACTGAAGAAATCAAATTACTCTCAATCTTTGAAAACTCTCATGCATTTTTAAAATGCCATGTATATTTTTAAGTACCATGCAAACTCTCTTTAAATTTGATGCCTACAAAAAGCCTACAGTATGTACAAAAATTTCCTTTTTTTTTAATAAGTGGTGCAAATTATCAATAATTTCAGAGCTTAATACAGGTATTCTTTTTCTGTAAATCACAGCAGTCCAAATGAAGCAACGTTCATTTGAGTCTCTGTTCAAACTTATTTTACTTTTTTTCAGTTTCCTGACTCAATCTTGTTGATCACACACCCCAGTTTCCTCAATTGAAAACTGGGGTGTGTGTCAGCATAAACTCATAAACAAGGATATTTTCCCCTAAATTTCAAACAGGTGCTGGTATAAATGCAAATATCATAAGGTATATGCAACAACAGCATGAATAATGATAATATAAGTGATATTTATTTAACTGAATTCAATCTCAAAAGGATCTTCTATAAGGAAAGAAACAGTTTTTATAATATGTATCTAAAATTTGAGTATTTTAAATTATTGGTCAGAATACAGTATAAGAATATTTTTTGACTGCCATTCCTTTGATTTTTTTTCTCCAATGAACACGTCCTCAATATTTAAAAAAAAAACTGAAGTTAAATATCTCAATCTCACCATTTTTTGGACATCAAAGTCGTACCAAATCCCATCAGCGTCGTCCCAGAAAACCTCTTGCATCGTGTCATTTCTTGTCCTGGCAATTTTCGAGTACGTCTCCGCCTTGTCCGTCCTGCCCAGTTTGTTGTGCATTTGAGCCAATAGGGCAGCATTGTAGGACATGAGGCTGTTCAAGTCCACGGGGGCCACATTCCGGATCCTCGTGTCAGTCAAGTTCGCTGCAGGAATCGGGTTCAATTGACGTTCATTCGCCCTATAATGGGGCTAGCATGGGGGAAATGAATGAATGCGTATTATACGCATGTTAGTTTTATTGATATACGTATATATATATATATATTGATTACAAGTGTGCCAGTCAGATGATGAACTCAAACCAGCAGTTATTTGAGGGCTCATGCTTGACTTGTTTGCATTCCACACCTGGTGTATCATGTGCTGTATAAAATGCAGATCTTGAGGTTCAGATTCATGAGAACATTGGGAAATTATTAACAAAAATCCTGAATGTATAATATTTTTAATGCACATGCAGTGTACATGCATATACTGTACACGTTCTTTTTATGGATTGACATGAAACTTCAGGGGACAAAGGTGGGATATTCCAGTGGAAGGAAAATAAGGTTGCTCTTTCTGAGGCTTCCAGAAGAAAAAAAAAGTGATTTTTATTCAGCTTACATTGGATATGTAGTATTATTGACAGGAAATAGCCAACAGCTGGTGTATATAATTGCTGGAGTCCAGAAAAATTCAAATGGCTGATGTAATATATTGGAACAAAGTTTGAAAGATTCCACAAATAAATTATCCAAAAATGAAGGAAAAATTGTCCAGCATTTTGTTTTTGCTTTATTGCCACAGGGAAACCAAGGGAAAATGGCTGGTTACAAGACATTTTCTGAGGGGGTATCATTTCCTGCAGTTCTTTTCCTCCATTGGGAGGGGGGAAGAAAAACAAAAGACCCTTTCCACTGCAGGAGGTTGTTTTACCCTCTCACCAAGATCAGGTGTTGGTGCTGGGCTTTTGTCACTGTATTTTGGGTTGCAGAGGGGAAGAATGTTTTTTTATAGATTCATGAAAAGAAGAAGCTGGAGAAAACAAGGAAAATCTGTCCCCTTCTTCAACCCTAAATCAAGTCAGGAATCCCAGCATCAACACCCCTCCTACTGTTGCCAAGGAAGATGACCCCCACAGTGGAAGGGGTTCCCATTTTTCTTCACCCCTTGTTTTCTGCTCCCCTATTTCTACCAGCCATTTTTTTTTCAAGTCTAGGGCAATAAGACCTGTTGTTGACTCCTTCTGGTTATCAATGCTCCTTAACCATTACATGCTGAAAAATCATATTCCCCTTTGTATCCTGAAAGCCCCACAAGAGCCACCTTATCTTTCATTTTTCTTGGTTATTCCCAACCTGGCCCTGAAGAAAATCTTTCAAATCCACAGCAGATGTCATAGCATGCATGGGATTTGCCAATAACTGATTCTAAATTTTCCCAGTTACTCTTAGACAAGCATAAAAAGAAAATATATTTCAATTCAATAATCTTGATATCTTTGCTGGATTTTGGTTTCTTTGATTTTTTTTAATAAATTCAAGAAAATGTTCTTCCTTATTCTTCAGTATCCTTGTGCTTGACTTGCATGTTTCAGTGGTTGTTGTGGTTATGTCTCTTTTTTAGATCACACTTGCTTCAACAAGTTGTAATGGTTTTTTCCACACCCATCAGGGTCCAGTTGTGGAGAAACTCGTATTAAAACCCACACACACAACTGATTGTGGTTGTGATTTCAATGAGTTGAGTCACAATTAACACCCCCAGTCTTCCACACAAGAAGAAACTTTTTAAGTGCCATTTTGGTACTTCAATTTCTTTTCAGTTCCAGCCTGAATTCCTGTAATAGCCAATAGGCATGTATTAAAATGAATTGAATAGGCATGTCATAAAAACCTTGACACCTGAAACTCAAAATTTCTCCTTCTCAGCTTCACAACTCTAATTTTCATGGTATTTTTGGCTATTGTTCTGGGGGCCAATGAAGGAAAAGAAGAGAAATAAAACTTCCCCATCCAGAAAGTGCAACTTATAGCAACGTCCAATTGTATTAATTGTATTGGATCTTACATGAATTGAGTCAAATACAGTACATCCAACTTCACCTCGAGCTGCTTTGGAGGCCAGGTCTATGTACAGTGAGACCCACAGATGCGGACATAATTGGTGCATCGAGAGTGTCCCTATATGTTGAATTGTCCCCAAGTCAAATCTTGTTTTCCCATAGACTTACATTGTACAATTTTTAATTGGTGTTATATGAAAGAAATATTCTTCAGAATTTCATGAAAAAAAATTTTGCCACTTGAATTTGATTCAATGAATATATTTTCAAACAAATAAGAACATTTGGAACATTGAACAAATAGTGTACCTCTGTACAGTAAATTGAAAAATTGGCATCTGGAAAAATAACATCCATGTCACAAAGAGAACTAGAAGGAAGTCCCTCTGTGCTATAGGGCATTTTTGAAATTAGCTGAATGGATGGGAAAATGATGGGAAAAGTACCAAAGAATTTTTCTTGCATATAGATCTTAGGTTGGAAACATCTGTTTCTTGCAATTAAGCCTTATAAAATAGATTTTCCTATAATTTATTTTGGAATTTTATCCTGCAATGTCCCCAGGTTGAGTCAGTGTCTTCATGTCGGGTCTTTTTTATGATTTTTTGTTAAAAAATAAATGTCCCCATGTCAAATCATCCCCATGTCAAGGCGTCCGCATGTGGGGGTCTCACTGTATATATCTGTAATTGCCTTGTAAAAGAGGCAGAGGACTGTTGTATATATATTCTTTTTGTTTCAACTCCTTTTAAAAATTATTTTGACAATAACTCAGGCACTGCAGACATGCATAGCATCATGTATGAGAAAACGAACCTCCATCTTGGCCAAAATGGTCAAACCAACGAGAGCTGAAATCCCATCCAGATTCGCAAGCTGACTTGATTTCAGCGTAAAAATCCTGTTTCTGGGCTTCTGACTTGAAAACGTTGGCCATTACTTTGTCTTCTGTGTATGATTCCGGACGAGGTCCAGCCACAGACACGTTGTACAGTGTTACCAAGTGCTCCTTGCCGTTCACCACGATTGTTGTTGAGCGCTGATTGTGCCAAAAAGCGTATTCTTCCTCCATGGCGTCCATATTCTCCCTGTTTTTTTTTCAGACAGAAAAATTGTGCATTCAAAAACAAGTTTTAAATTGTGAAGTTGGAATGACAAGGATCTGACATTTTATAGTGAATCCAGGTGAGAATCAAAATGTGCAAGAGTGGACTTTAGTTCTGGTGTCTGCTGATTTTCTGTGCAAATTTAAATTGACTTTTAAATCATTCCAACCAAAATAAAGCACCTACATCCATCAATTGTGAGGGTTTTGACAAGTTTGAAGGGGGTGATGGTTAATTATTGGCATGCCTTCAAGAAAAAAGAGAGGCACATTTTGCAATAAAAAGTAGATAGTATACTTCCAAACCTCTATAAAAGTGGTACCTTGCAATTTGACCTCCCACAATTTGACCGTTCTGAAATTTGATGTTCAAATTTGCAGGGAGGTAATTGACTTGCTATTTGACCCCTGTCCCACTATTCAACCTGCTTTGGCAATTTAAATTTGTTTTGCATTTTTGCATTGATATATGTTTGAATTTCAGAAAAAGTCTTGAAATTTGCCTGCTTTACAATATGACCCTAGTTTGGCAATGGATTAGGGTTGAATTGCAAGGTACCACCTGTATCACCAAGAAATTAATTTCAATGACTATTTCACTTAAAAGAATTAAGAAAACCATGCTAATGAAATGGTTTTTGGGAGCAAAACAGTTTCTGAATTCAGTGTTTTTGAAGTTCGTTTTCTTTATTATATGAAGTATACTGAAATCCAAAGAGAAGATCCTTTTTTTTGCATGAAAATTAAAATCACTTTAAATGTTCTGCAAGAAATCAGACCACAGTGTAAAACCTTCTGTGTTCCTAAAAGTCTAAAAGTGCTCTGGAAAAAGGGATTCCTTGTTTTAAAATTGTTTTTAGTGTAATGAAAACTACAAAAAGTAGGCATAACATATGCAGTATATTATTTGCAAATAAGTTGTTTTCTAACTCAAGTTTAGATCTTGCACAAATAAATTTCAATGATTTTTTTCAACTCACTCATTCCGGTGAGGTATAAAAAAATATGCCAAAGAAAGTTCTGTGGCCAGCAATTTTTGCACATGGCTTCTCTTCAATTTTTTTGGCATATACTGTACTAAGAAAATTAGGCCGGCGTTTCGAAGATTTTTTAAATGTTGAATTTAAAACTACTGTACAGTCCTTCAGAAAATGTACAAGTTTTTGGTACATCGTCAACATTGAAAAACAAATACTGTATATAAAAGAAATGAATACCTGAGGAATTCCAGATCACCAGTGGCAGAAACATATTCGTTGACCATCGGGATGAAATATGGAGGTTGGCTTCGACGTGCGAAATACTTCCGGCCTCCGTTTGGAATGTAGCCGAATTTCCGCTGCATTTCCACGAAATTGATCAGCATTCCTTTCACAGTTTCCGACATTCCACTGATGAGCAGTGCCTTAACCACCCAATAAGTGTCCCTGCATCATTAAAAAAAAAGTTTATGATATAAAAGGGCAAATTACAAAATGTCGACATGCAGTAATTCATTGTCAAAACTGCATTCATGATTAGAAAAAAACCAAAAATCAGACCACGTTTTCTTTCCATCAGACAAGGACAAATTTTAAATTTCTCGTGCTTAAAAAAGTTTGAAGAAAGTTCTCAAGAAATAAAAATAATGTTCTCAGCGTTAAGAATTGGAAATTTTCTGCGCAGAAAAAAATCCATATAAAATGTGCCCATATTTGGCAAAAATGGGAGACAAAAATAAGAAAAAAAAGCAAAGTTATTGCTGCTTCACTTTCAACAGTTGATTATGGAAAACTCCTTAAAATGAGGTGGACAGTCTTTACAACAAAATTCAATAAAAAATAAAAAATAACAGAGAGAATTTATTTTCGGAGAATTCAAATAGCAAGCAGAGAAAACCCCCTTTGGGACCACCAAAAAATTCTGTATACAGAGAAAATCGTTGTAGAGAGTCCATCTGATATGCCTTAAACTTCCACCTGTTCTGGAAAATTAACTAGAGCAGAAATTATATATAATGCCAAAATTTTCCATCAGAATCAAGTTTGACACACAAACAAATGCTTCTAAAATTTGAAAAACATCCTATATATATATGTACATATTTATTTATTTAAAAAATGACAACATCCTCATTTTTCCCGCTTAATTTCGAAAGAAAAGGTGTTCTTGGCATTGGAAAAGGCACACTTATGTTGAATTTCCGTATTTAAAAAAGAAACCTCACCAGTAATAGAATTCCCGGAATCTGCCCCCAGGAACCATGGTACCATGTGGTACATAAAGAATGGAATAGCGGTCAGCATTGTCCCGGACAGTGTCCTTCACCTTCCTTCCCAACTGTTTCCACAGGTTGTGAAGTTCTGCAGCAAATTCTCTCATTTCTTGGTTTTTTATGTCGTCCAAAAACTTTGGCCTGCAAGAAAAGAAAACAAGACATATTATTTCTGAACCTCACATGAATGGACTGACCTCTGAAATTCTCATCCTCATACAGTAGAATCTCATGACAACAAATACTGTTGCAACATATTTTTCATTATAAATCAAACTTTTTTCAAGCTATAGGGCACATGTTATAAAAATCCTGTGATAACAAACTCACCAATTCCTGTATAACAAACTTTTCAAAGTAACATGTTGTGATTTCTTAATGAAAAATCCCCAATGAAGGCAGACAGTCTAAAATTTCCCATTCAATGTGTGACAGCAACTAGTTCTTGGGACATAAGGTGGATTCAAGGGTAAAAATTATTCAAATTCCACTGGAACAATTTCCCTTTCAAAATTGCTTCCTGATGGGTTAGGAAGTATGGGGGGAGGGGGCATATATGAATAAAACCCAACAAATGCTTCAGAAACCCTGTGCTGATGCTTGACAATTTTAAGCTTTCTTTTCTGGAACATCCACCCTTACAAATCTGTACAAGAATTGCTTTGAAAACATCAAAGTCAACAAAAAATGCTGGTATTGATGTTATTCAGAGTAAATGCTTGTTATTATTAAAATTTTAAACTTCTTGTTGAAGATCAGTTTTTGAATGCTGAAAACAGCTGAAAAAGGTCACAAAAGAAAGATGTTGAGTGCATATGCAGGTGTATTTTTTTTAAAAAAAGCTTCCCATCAGTCAACAATTTCAAAAATGCTGTTATAATAGATTATTTGTTATAAAATGACTTTTTCTGAAGTCCCCACAAGTTTGTTGTAACAAGACTTTACTGTAGTTCCTTTGCAAGCCTTTTTTGGATTTTTAAAACTTAGTCTCTCTTTTGAGTCTCATCATCAAAAATCCAGCCTTTTTCCAATTGCTGTATTCCATGTATTAAATACTGTACATAAAATCCCATTACAACAAATCTTTTAATAACAAAGTATGGGTAACAGCACAGCCCTTCCCATCAGGTCCCTGCTCAATAGCAATACAGGCAATGATACTGTATTCAAATTTTTTTACATGATGAATTTTGCTAAGATTTTTTTCCTTGGCCCAACAGCTTTGTTGTAATTTTATTTCACTGTACCACACAATGGGACAGGTCATAAATAATGATGATGAAAAGGTTATAAATTAGACTCACGTGGGTTTCCAATCTGGTGGGGTCCAGATTTCCAACTCTGACCCAGGTGGGTCAAAGTGTTGGTCCACAAATGACTGGATGTGAACCCTGCTCAATGGTGCTGAACCCAACTGAAGTTTTTTGAAAGCTGCTAAAGTGTCTGCTCTGCTCTTCTTCAAGGTCATGTCCACGAAATGTTTGGAGTCCTTGTACAAATGGGAAGATTGGATGGTGTCCAGCAGCTCGCCCTTGCAAAATATTTCACTGCAAAATATTAACCGAAGAAAAATCAATGCATGGAATAATCTGCGATTCACTTATTGAGTCAAAACTGAATGGGTTTATTTACACAAGACAGATTAAATCAGGTTCATTCCAAATGTAGGTGTGAGATTTCTCCTTTTCCCTTTTTGAGAACTATTCTAAATAATTATCATAAAATGTCTCGGAAGATTTGTGAAAAATTTTATGTTGGCCCATTTCAGTCGAATCATCAGGAAGTTCTGAAAAGATATTCAAAATACGTTTCATACTGAATTTGACAACCCATTTTTGCAAGGGATTGCATTCCTTCAAAAGTTGAATTAATTATTCAGCAGATTATTTATTCAGCAAGAGATCTTATTTACTTGTATTTTGGCCCAAGAAAATAGAGCTGGACTTTCTCTTTACAAAGAAATTCAAGAGACCAGAAAAATTATTTTTAGAGAGAATTTTGTTGTAGAGAGTCCACCTGTAGAATGTACACGTGACTTCAGGTTCTTTTTTTCCATTTTAACTACGTGCGAAAAATTTTATGCGTTTCAATTGTGCGAAATTTTAGCATTACATAATTCATGCATTTTTTATAAGTGAAGAAATTCTCAGAAGTTTGCTGTGTGCAGGCTATTGTCATCTTCGATTTTCCGAAACTTTTTATTCTATTTAAAAAATAATAATAAAAAACCAGATTCAAAAGCTCACTGAGGCCAATTTTTGAAAAGGTGAGACAGATAAAATCTGGGGTTTTTCCATTCTTTTGACCTTGTGGAAGTTAAATGTAGATAAGAGGTTTAGACAGACAGGAAATAAATGAGGAGCTATTGTTATTTGGAAGAATGGGGCAGAAAGTATGGCTGCCAGAACCAGTGTTGGCAGGTATTCTTTTGGGATATGTGTTAGGAATGTTGAATATCCATCTCCATTTTCTTGACCAGGTGATAAATTCTTGGAAAATTTGGTATCATCAGCTGTGATCAGCATTTGCAGTGCTTGAGGGCATATGGCACATTTATAAATTAACAATTCTTTTTTTCCAAATTTCCTGAGTTGATTTCACAGGAATGTATCCCAGCTCTCCTTGGAAATTGAGCAGAAGTAAGAAATAGCAGATGCTGATCAATAAAGCTTGACATTTTTGAAAAAAATGGACAAATTTTAGCCTAGATGTCTCCAGATGATTGCTGTGGACATACATCTAAGACAATTTGTCTTAAAGATCTGAGCTTGTTGGCCACTGTGAAATAATATTTATTGGATGGACAATCAGCTGTCCAGTCAGAAAATTGACCTTGCAAAACTTGAATGGTTGAAATAAACATCCCTAAAAGTTCAGTTTTCTCAGTAAGCACAGACAAAATCCGATTTTTGAAAACCTAGAAACACATTCATTGGTTGAAATTGCATTATTCTTCACAATCACACAGACAAAAATGTGAATAGGATACAACACCAGCAATTAAAAATTAATAACCCATGAATCAAAATAATTCGACAGCCCGCCCCTTAAATTTTCAAACTTTTGAAGAATTTTTTCCATATAAATAAGATGAGTTGAATATATAAATCACTTTCATGCTAATGGAGTATCATTTCAAGTTCTGATATATATAAATTGAAAATTAAAAGTAATGCGGCGATGAACAATAATTCAAGCATGAGTTACGCTAAATATTTACGATTAGGAATACCGTCTGCTGATCCATCTCTTGCCATATTCCGGTTTTTGTTATGGAAACTCAATTTATACGTATTCAGAAGAAACTACGGGCCAGACAGTTTAAATATAATAACCAGGTATTCGAAAATAAATCGCAGAACTTTATTTACACGCATTAAAATGATTAGATTACGTTGTCAGCGATTCAATCATTGGAAACAGATCCAATATGCGTGAAATTCTTCCGATATTTCGGCGTCTCTCATCAATGTTTCGATTTGAGCGACACCTGTCTGACGTAGCATAAACCGAAAACAAGCAGTTTACTGGGGGACGGATAGAGCAACAACTGCAGCCCACAGAAGAAACCCGATCAGACGAACTCCGCGCTAATTTTAAATCACTAAATAAATAATCGACGAGAAAACACGATACTGAACCAATTTTGATGGATTTTTTTTTCGAACCGCACAGTACTGCAAAATTTGGTTGTAAAAGACGCTTTGAAAGTGAATTGGACACAATTTGTCATCTCAGAAAATCGTTCAAAATTTTGAGGAAACCATCCTGAGCATATTTTCTCAAAATAAGAGAATCAAATAATTCAGATCCACGATTTTCAACACATTTGCATCGGTTAAATGAACATATTCAAAAGTTTCTCAAAATTTTTCTTTTCTAGCATTGATACTGTTTCATCATCCAACCATTAATGACGTTACCATTAATGACGTTATTCAGAAAATGCATTTTCCAGGTATAAATTGAGAGTTTCTCTAAAATTCAATTTCTTCCAAGTCCATTAGCAGATTTTTTTTCTTTACGGACAATGTCTTGATTGATTCGTTTTCATCACCATTGTGTAATTACCACCATGTCTGCTGATCATACTTGAATATTTATTCCACTTCAAAGTCATGCCAATTAGTTATAAGTTGACCATCAATAAAACGTACTATCAGGATGTGATTCGTCACTCTGCATTTCTTGTAACAAAAAAGTCTTCAGCCATCAATGATTATTTTGAAAGTAGAAATTTTGAGAGGTGCCTGCGAAATTCTTTCTACTTTTCAATTAAGTCCCGTTCAATCCTGTGAGGTGCTATTTGAAACCCTTTTTTTCAAGTCTTACAAAACATTTTTTCTGTTATACTGTATACATAGAATTCTGAAAGCTCAGCTAGGACTTCACGTCAAATTTGTAGCAAGAATCTTATAATACTTGATGAGATATTGAGATCATCCAATAACAGGATAGTTCATGGCAATTACTGTATACAGTGGCCGCCCCCCCCCCTTACAGACCTCCTGTGTAAGGGATTTTTGCCAAACAGACCAGCTCTGCAAGCAGTTTTTCCTCCCCCCCAACAGACAAAACCCCCCCAACAGACNTCTGCAAGCAGTTTTTCCTCCCACCCAACAGACAAAATCCGCCAAACAGACTTCTTTTGGTTTAAAATTAGTGTTGAAAATTGAAATTTTTAATTTTTATGTAATTGAATTTGTTTAAAGGACTTTTTGTCTAACAGACTCGCCCCTTGCACAAATCAAGTCCGTTAGACGGGGGTTGACTGTATAATAGAAATTCACTATACTGTATATTCATGCGTCTTGTTTTTTTTTTGCTGATAGTTTCAAGCAGCAAAAATACAATTGCTAAAATCCATGGCCTTGAAATGATATACGGTCGTTTTGGCGAGCTGCTTCTTGCAAAAAATTTTGATCATCGTTTCCATCCTCATCATGAAGGATTCTTGATGAGAGTTGGGTCACCATCTTTGGTGCAATTTTATATCTTACCAGTCAAAAATGATGCATTGCCACACACACACAACATTATTAATGCTTATACTATTTTTTTGGTACTTGTTAACTCTTCTTTTGATGAAAATGTTTTATTTTTTTGGTACTTGTTAACTCTTCTTTTGATTAAAAGGCTTCATTTATTTTTGGTACTGGTTAACTCTTCTTTTAATGAAAAGGTATCTTCCTCAGGTTTATTCAGAGGTGTACAGTATTTTCAAGCATTTGGAAAGTTTATGAAATAGTAAGAGTTATAAAGATGAAGCATGTGTTCATCAGGCACTTGCACACTATTACAGAGGCAAAACCAACCCTCTTTGGAAAATTATGCTATTGATATTTTTTCCAACACGTCAAAAATGATATATTGAAATACCATAATTCATGCATGTTTTCAACATTCAGCATAGTTTCCTCTATGAATATTAATAAAAACTGTGCTCACTCTATGATCTCTGTTTTTGGGTGATGGTGGTGGAATGGTATCTGCATCATGGTAGCAACAAAAAAACAATGAATTTTTATTTAAACATTGGAATACTGTTGTTGGTTGAATACTGATAACATGGCCAAAAGTAGAACCCATTCTGAGACATAGATTGATAATTTCAAGAATTAAAAAAATGTAGCTGATGAAATACAAAATGAAAGTGAATTACTGTACTGTGCAGTGTGAACATGGGGAACATAAATTGAAGTTCCACAAAATCAAACTGGTAACGGAGGTAGATGGGTCTCATTATCATAATACTCAATGATTACCAAAAGCAGTCTGAGATATCAAGAAGCATTACTTGAGAAATGGCAAGCAACAAGGGATGTTACAAAGAGAGCCACTGTAGACCACATCTTTCAAATACAGCAATAATTTAGTTTCTAGCATAAACAAATTGAAAAAAATCTTTGTCAAAAATAATACTCTGCTGGCAGATATTGTATACCTTATACGCTTCTAGAAAAGCAATCTAAATGAAATTAAACAAAATACATGATCAAGCAGAATATGTACACATTTTCAATCTAAAAAAAAATATGTAGGCAGCACAACATTGGAGAAATTTTCCTAAAAAATGTTCCCAAAATTTGAGATACCATACCGCATTTTGTAAGAAATGGACTCCATGAATGCATACTGTACCTTGTGAATAGTGTGTATGTGATGTGAGAGTATGGATGATGTATCATTTAGTTTTCTTGAATACTCACTGATGCTTGTGAAGCTTGTGCTGGTTGGAATCCCATCCCAAATGGGTTGCATGTAATCCCCAAATGGTATGCATAACAAAAAATATGCTATGATTTTATCCCCAATGGAATGCATGATCTGGATATTAAAGGATACCTGCCAAGTAATATGGTTGGCCCAATATGGTATGGATGATTGGATATAATTGTAGAACAGCAGTACAATGCATTCAATCACTGAATATTTTGAATTTTTGTGTGTTGCATGCAGAGAATTTATCTATTCCAAAAAACACATTTAATCAAATTTTCATTTTATTGAACTGTTGACAAAATGCAATATATGCATACTATAATGCATGTTAACAGAATGAAAAATCTATGATATTATGGCTTTTTGTAACACGTATTATTGAATGAAACATTCTATTCTATAAAGAGCCTGCAGATATAATCAGGTTGAGCTCCTACAGTTTTCAAATGTATTTCTCAATGGAGCTCACCAGACTCCCAATGGATTTCTGCATACCAGAATAAAAAAAGAAAAATCAAGATCCACAAAGAGGGTCAAATACTTGAATATGGACTCTCCATTTTTCCATATCTTCATTCTGAATATCAAAGAATTTATAATTTGACTCACCTGGCATTCTGAGCACATATCACTGACATTTTACATTTTAAATATGGCTGTGAAATAAGACTAGGGGAAGTTCAACATTTATTGCATTGCTGAAAGGTTAGACTTGGGCTCATATGATGGTGCTTGAGTTTGAATTCTGGGACTTGTTAAAAGGCATTTTCATGCACAATTTTTTTTTTTTTTAAAGCAGTTTCCCAATGATTCATGTGTATGAATGTATGACACTTGATATATGGTTATTTGAATCATATGTAAATGTACCCACTGAGTGAAAACTTTCCAAGAAGAACCAAGAATATGTTCTCACCTTTATGTGTTTGTGTAGAATACAGACATTATTGAAACCCATGTATCAATACATTTTGAGAAATTGTAAATTTGCCAAGCCATTTTTGTGAGGGTTGCTAATATGGTATGCATACAGCAAATGAACTGTACCTGACCAGTCCAGGGTTACTCCTGCATTGGCCAACTTATTCTCTGTAGAGGAGTCCACACTCAACAAAGAATTGCAAAAAAAAAATTGCACAAGAATCTCTTGACAAAATAAGATTGGATTCATCGAATTTTTTCACCCAAGAAATATTTCCCTGGACAGAGAGAGCACATTTCTTTTTGAAACCTCTAATTTTTGATCACATAGTTGAAAAAAAGAATCAATTGGTTGACAATTCTCATGAATAAATAAAAAAATTGGCATACTTCAAAAAGTTGTGACCCTCAGGAAAACTGCAGTTTCCTGAAACAGTATCAACCTCACACTTTTGTACTCATAACTCACTTGATTGCACAAGTTTTTCAGGTCTATCAGGGGTTTCGCAATTTTCTGGCACACAGTGCATTATTCGCAATTTTAAAAATGACAGAAATAATGTTTTGCATAACAATTAAAATCCATCTTTCAACATTTCAGTCTTGTTTTTCAGTGACCCACTGTACTTCATAATTGGGATTTTTGTAATCTTTCAGCAATAAAGTTTTTCCAGTTCAAAGAAACCCTTGATCACTTCATGTATTTATAATCAGCGCTTTATTCATTTAAAAAAAAGTGAAAAAACTCCTGCATTCTTTTCATTCCAAAACTGCAGATTTGATCCTTTTTGGAGTCAGTGAAACATGCTTTTAAAGTACACCTAAAAATGTTCATGTATTTCAGGATATTGAAAATTACTTTGTTTCAAAACAATTATTTCTTCTCCCGAAAAATATTTTTGAACCAAACATTTAAAAATGTAACTTGAAAAGTTGATTCACATTATTTTAAGAAAATAACATACAGTACATTCTCCTGAAAAGCTGATCACCGGTTTGAAAAATTTACTGAGAAAATAGCGTTTCATATTCTTAATTTGAATTTTTAAATCCTGTCAAAAGGAAAAACCGCAATTTTTAACCCTGATGCTTTTTTGTAAATGGGTGAAAAAATGAGTTCAACAATTGGCTTCCATCTTCAAAAGCTACTGACTCTAACCAAACTTCTGCAGTTTCTCCAATGCATAAATAAATGAGAAAAAATAGGTTGGTGAATTGCATGTTCATTTTTTTTTTCATTTGGCCTTCAACAGCAGTCAATAAAAACTCCAATAGAAAAAAATTAGGAATTGTACAAGTTTTGAATAATGAACGAATTCTAAACCTTTCATACAAATTCCTACATTTCTTCTGCAGCCTTTTTTCCCCCATCACACTTTTTCATTCTAAATTGTCCATATTTTATTGGTAACAAAAAGTTTTTCAGTGCTGGGGTACAGTCCAGAAAATCATTTCATTGTCCTTTCTGGACTCGTTTTCATGCAAAAATGGAAGATTAAGTGCAGTTTTTCCCCTCGCATTTTACTGTCCTTCATGGAAAAAAAAACCATTCACAAATTTTAAAATTTTTCAAACACGAGTAGGTGATCATATTTTAAATTAAATTGCGTACACTTTCGAAGAGCCATCAAAGAATTTTGCACGAAGAAAACATCCCACTGTTTCCCCCACTCAAACCCGTCACTGATTCCCAACTTCTCGCATTTATTCATATTTTCAATCAATAATTTATTGCACTTTCATCAGTCGTGAAAAAGATCACGTCGATGCCTTAATTATACTATAACATCGCGATCGAATCACGGTGTACACTTCGCATAACGTATAAATATTTTTGGCACCTGCCCCGCCCCCCAAAAAAGAAAATCAGCACGCAGAAAACTTCACACTTTAATTATATATATATATACTCACTCTTCGCAAGGAGGTGGAAAATCAGAATCCGCTTGAGCCCGAATCGCACCCGACAAAAGTGCGACCAAAACCAGTGCCAAAATCTGCGATGCTCTCGCCTCAGTTCCCATCACCAACTAAACCAAAAAAATGCAGCTTTTCTCTTGTTGCAAATCCACGAGAAAAAAGAATATAGATGCGTTTTGCTCGGTTGTTGGTTGGTTGGATGGATTGTGTTATTGACTGGCACCGGATGACTGACGGGCGACGATCGAAATCCGAATCGTGTATAAGAAAGCTCCTATACACAGAAGCTGTCTGAACACCGGGTGGAAAACGACTGTGACCATGGGCTACAGTTGAGCAAAATATATAAGAAACCCCCAAGTCCTGGGTTCCCCTCACTTGTTCTCGAAGGTGTAGATCCGCGCGCGCACTGGGTTCCTTTGTCTGGGACGCGCTATTGCGAAGCATCGACGGAGCAGAATCCGAAGAAGCATGCGCTGAGATTGAGTTTTTTTTTTATTCTTTTGCTGAAGCCAGTGAGCGACAAGTTATTGTGCCAATTCTATCCAAATATAAAGTATATTACTGAAATTGCTTGAAATGTGTGACAGGTATCTAAATTATGTTTACTGGGCTCTCAAAAGATGTTCAAGAGCTGTAAATTTTATCTTCAAGAGCGTCCCATTCAAAGAGTGTAAAAATTGAGGATTTCTTCTTCTGATGGGAAAAGTACCAAAGCATTTTTCTTGCATAGATCTTAGGGTTGGAAATATCTGTTTCTTGCAATTAAGCCTAATAAAAGTCAATTTTCCTAAAATGTATTGGCAATTTTATCATTCAATGTACTCATGTTGAGTCAGTGCCTGTATGTTGGGCCTTTTTTATGATTTTTTTTATTGAAAAATAAATGTCCCAATTTCAAATTGTCCCCATGTCAAGGCGTCCTCATGTAGAGGTCTCACTGTATTTCCAAACCAAAAAAGGGGATATCCCAGACAAGTAATATGTATCCTCATTTTCTGAAGAAGCTGCGCTTCAAAGGGTAATTTATAAATTATAAACCAAAAGAATAAGAAAAATGAAGAATAACAGGGCCGAAGAATATCAATCCCGAATAAAATACCGGTATCAAAATTTTATTTTAAAAATGTGGAGACATTAACTTTTCGGCAGGTCAGTGCAGCGAATAGTTCCGGACGTTCGACTCCAGCGATTTCTAGGAAATTCTCGAAGCCGGGAAGGAAAAACAACGTCTCTTAACGGTCAGTGGAAAATTTCCAATGGTGTTCCACCAAATTTTTATTTTTTTTATTTTTTGGCGGGTATTGCGTTGTCCAGAGAAATCTCATCATATACCAGTTTCAACTACACTTTCACCCAAGTACGGCATATCTAAAGCACTTTGATGCATGACTAAAATTGCTTGATGATGTCGGATACCAAAGAAAGAAATTTGATAAGAAATTAATCCAACTGGAATAAGCCTTTTTCTTTGAATGAGTCAACTTTCGCCAGAATTTTGCTTGGTCACGCTGTACACCTCGTTTATTTATTAATTTGTTTTTGGAAAGGTTTCCTATTTTCCATGGCGTCTCAAATGTTCAAGACAAAAGCACGAATCGTATTTTCAAAAAGGAACACAATTTCAAAATCGCTCGAAATCAAGTAAGAAAATTTTAATAATCTTTAATCAGTTTTCAGACAGCAAGAAACACAACTCTTGCAGTTATCACGACAGGACTTGCGGGGATTCAACTTTTAATTGAAGATATGAATATAGGATCATCAAAGCCTCCCGATTTCCAAAGAACTTTATTAAAATTAAGTTGATTCTTACGTAATTGCAGAAAAAATTGTTTGGTTTTTTGCAAGAAAAATTGAGCAAATTTTCATAATTCACTGTATCTCAAGACTCAAGGGCGGATGAAATACACTTACATTTTTAATATTTTAAAATACTGTAGATGAAAAAAGTTTTCAGTTAATGCATTTTGAAAGAGTCACTTATTGGAGGTAGCTTTTTCCAACATTGGCTTCACAGTAAAAGAAAATGTACTGGAATAAAAAAATGGACATGATTGTCAATAAAATGAAGCAGATATCAAGATTTTTTTTATGAAAACATGTTGGAAAAATTGAGTTAGACCTTCATATTCATGCAGCAATTGTAAAAATTATGAACTTATGAATTGAATTCCATTTGCAGAACCAATAACCACATTCTAATGGATCAGCACTTCCAAAGTTTTTTTTTACTGCACAATAAATACTGTGCAGGTGATGGTACCTTGCAATTCAACCCTAATCCATCACCAAAATAGGGCCAAATTGCAAATTGGTCAATTTGCAAGGCACTCCATGGAATTTAAAAATATAAGTTTAACCCTTGGTGCCGCCTCCCAAGAAAGGGTATCACCCTACCTCAACCTAATAAAAACATAAGAGGACGTAAAAGTCAAAACCCTTCCAGTGGTTTTGGGAAGGTCCACCCGACTCCGTCAGTCCTAACTAGGTTTTGAAGGAGGTCGCCTAACTAAGAATTTTTATTTTTGCCAGCAAAATTGTTCTGTGATCAGAGAAAAAAGCATTGTGATTTTTACCAACTTTGCCCTTGACCACCTGATATCACTTTTTTCCAAACCTCTCTGAGGTGCCACAAAATTTTGCAAAAATAGTCCAAATTTGCCGCACAGGGTTAAAAATGCAAAAAAGCCAAAGCAGGTCAAATTGCGGGGCAAAGGGTTGGATTGCAAGTCAACCTTGCTTGCAAATTTGACCATCAAATTGTGTGACAGTCTAATTGTGGGAGTTTGAATTGCCAGGTACCACCTTGTCTACTCTGCTTCAATGAAGATATTCCAAACAACCAGCAGTTACAAAATTTGAAATGCAAACCTCTCTAAATCAAATTTCAAGGGACCTACTGCAGAAAAATTTGACTTAGGCGGGAGGTTTCAGCTTAGTGAGGTTTTGAATTTTATAGGTTGGAACTGCAATACAAAGCCCTTTTTCTGGAAAACTTGGAAAAATGTAAATGGTGATATGCTGGGGCTTAAATGGCTTCTTGAATGAGTTGAAAGGCTGCTGAACTTGGAGGCGGGGGTTCATTTGCTCAATTAGGTTGGTCAATTCTTTTAACCCTTGGACGGCAAAGGGTTCCTTTCCATTGCGCGGCAAAGTCAGGATTTTCTTGGGTGGTCTCGCGTTTCATTTTTCCTGAAGGCCACAAAAGCCAAGCCAGGTCGCCTAGGGCAAAGTCGGACTTTGTCCGGCAAAACGGTGCAGCTAATATTTCCCAAAGTCGGACTTTTTCCGCTAATCTTTTTCTGCCTCTGAATAAGAATCCTCTGTCTGGCGCCCTGAATGAAAGGGTTGCAAATCAGAGAAGAATGCAACTAATCCTGCAAGAGGCTAAAAAAAAAAGCTCAGCCTTGGTGATGCATTTTTTTATTTTTGGGCAAAGTTTTTCTGTGGATTTTAAAAAATACATTGGGATTTTGCCCGACTTTACCCTGGGTGAATTGTTCCTCTTTTTTAAAAAACCTGTCCTGACAGACACACAATTTAGCGGAAAAAGTCCAACTTTGCCGCACAAGGGTTAAAATGCATAAATTTCTATTTTTATTACTCTTCTCTTTTTTCAAGAAAATATTGGCCAATAGGCCACAGCAAATTTTGTCTATGGAGGTTTGAGGGGAAAAGCTTATGACTTATAGGGAGGTTTTTATTCTATGGTTTCTAAAAGGATTCAGACAGGGACTAGAAAAAAAATTAACTTCAGCGGGTATTAGACTTGAGGAGGTTTGGGTTATAGACATTCACCTGTATACAAATTTCAGTGGTTTGTTGGTTTATAAATAATGGTAATTTTTATTTATTCCACAATATTAAAAAATAAGCAGGAGAGCTGATGCTGAGTAAACATTATAAACAGGTTCTACAAATACTTAATATACCATTTCCTGGATCCTTTTCACCCCCTATATAATAAATACAAAGGGTCCATAATTCTTCAGAAACTTCCATCATTTTAAAAATGAAATAAAAATACAACAGAAATTAGTCATTCAAGTCCCACTTGGATAATGGAAAGGGAAGGAAACACATACAACCGCTTTAAACTTTCCCCCATATCATAAGGAAGTGAAAGAAAAACAGTTCTGTTATGAGAATGATAAAAAAAGGTGCAAGTTCTTGGAAATAATGGTCTTTTACTTCCTTGGAAAGATGATTTCGGGTTTCGGTCAGGTCAAGGTCAGAGGTCAACCCACCTTTTTCAACAAATTTTAGTGACCTGAGTTGTTCCACTATATAATACTGTACAGTAAATGAATTATGCTATTTTTTTCCACAAATTGATGGAATTAACTTCGCTTTCAATTTGTATCCTCTGCGGAATGAGACCTTCAAACAAACGAAATAAGTAGTTCCGAAAGATTTTCTTTGGAAAATTCATCATGACGAAAAATGGGGAAACCCAGAATGAATTTAGAAAATTCCTCGATGAATAATCATATTTTGAATTCATAATGTTTCGTTGTTTCTCGTCGAGTTTGAAAATTATTTCATTCGCTGTGGTTGAGAGTATTTTTTAGAAATTCAACTTCTATAGTATCTTGTACACCAAAAACTCTGAAAAAAGGAAGTTTTACAATTTTATTTAAAATAGGAAGGCGAAACAAAGCACAGGTACAACCCACGAGGAATCCGTGAGGTCACATGTCAACGAATCCGCTGTTTTGGGCGGACACCTGACCTCGACCTGACCAAAACACGCAACGTTCTTCCCTCGCATCATCTCAGAGAATCATTTCCCCCTTTTTTTCAATTTCACTCCATATAATTTCACATTTCATGAACCAGTTCTTTCTAACTTCCTCTTATTCAACAATTTTTTAAAAGTGTTTTTAGGGCAGCTTCCCTCGGTTCTTTCCTGTTTGTATATTGAGTGCAGTATTTTTAAAGTTTTAAATTTGAATTTCCGGTGAAAAAGAAAAGAGGTTTCGAAATTATCGACTGGGAGGGGCTGGTTTAGGAAAAGGCACCAGGAAATGGATTCAAGGTTGGAATATTGCCTATTCACAACGTTTCCTTAGTAGTATACAGTATAATAAATTTTTTGGTGGGTGTTCCAGTATGTAGAAACACACAGAAGAGTTGTATTTTTTTCTTTAAAAAAACAAGGGGGTTTTCATAATTGACTGGATTGATACACAGAATTCTTCTTGATGAAGTCATATTCTTGAAATTTTATGGGGTTGATTGTGACTGAAATGTTTTTACTTAATAAATAAAATACCTTTCCATCTTCAACTGGCATCACATTTTTCCTTTTGTTTATTTTCTCAAAAATACAAATCTGATGGGATGAATTTTTTCCTGCGACTGG